CCCCCCCCCCCCCCGCCCTCCCCGCACTCCGTGATCGAAATGTCATTGCATGAGTCACCTGACAATTATTAAGGAGGATTGGTCCTTCCGACAAGCTAATCAAAAAATAAATGAAACCGAATTCATCATAAATAGAAATCTCGCATAGCCTTCCATAAACCAATATGGTTCATTTGGTAATAACCCACACACTCAGTAACGAGCGGAGCACATTTTTCTCTAAGGTGTTTTATATATTTTTCGATAAACGATGTTAGGTTCTTTAAGAAAAATCAGTTAAGGCGATCGAGTCACGAACAATGTTCACGCACATCGAGCGTGAACACATATACATAAACCTTTTCACTCGAAATTTTTAGGTTCAATTCATTTAGTCTGGGTTTGGTTAACTAGTGATTCCGCTTGAAAACCGATGGTAAGCGTTAATGTGCACAGAACAAAGAGCGTACCTGTCTACTCAACTAGCCAACTCAAACTCAATCTATCAATTCCAGTACGGGTGCCGTGACACTTGCACAGGTAGAACAGAAAGATGATCGGGCATGAGAACACTTTCCTAACTGGTTTCAGCTGAACATTGCGATATTTAGGTTCACATAACCATAGATACGAAACACCAAACTCTTCCAATGCTTTTGTTGACAATGCACCACCTCGTTGATCGAGATAAATCATTTCGAGTGATTTATACTAATGATGATGCCAGAATGTTGAAGATCGCTGAGGGAATGACAATCAATCGGTGGAAACCACTGTCCAAAGAATGAACCGTTTATCTCCTTGGTCTTATCTTTGTGACCCTTTCCCCATTTGCGTTTGTTTATTTTTGTAATGTATTCCAAAACCCTGTATAAATGTTGCCTGCAGTAGGCATTAGTTGAGATGCAGTGGAACCGTCCAGGAGAAAAATCGTGCTTTTTTCATTGACTGACTTCTTTTTTCAAACGTGAATATACACAGTTAAATCCGTGTCATTAGGTTGTAAAGGTGACAGCGTGAGTTCATCTTGGGTTCAACCACCTGAGGAACAAAGATTAAAAACCTGTTTCACCAAGACGACGGAGGTCGTTTGTTGATTTAATCCGGCACCTGCTCATTTTACACTGTATTTTGTCCGTGTTAAAATAATGAACAAGCGGAATGGGCAATCGATGGTTGACTGTTGGTCAGAACATTAGAGTTTGCCCGCAAATAAAGAGAATTCGTTTTCTGATACATACACTTCTTTGAGGCAAATGCATGCATTTGAAACTGAAAAGACAAACATATTTCCCTTGACAGTCAATAGCAAACTCCTTCAAACAATACTCGCGCTCTGTTTACAGCATTTTACGAACAACATCCACTCCACATTGGTGCCCGTGATAAAACATTTTCAGTTTTCTACAACCATTAGCCATGCACTGTCATGCGCCGGTTTTGGTTGCTGTCTGTTGGCTTCCCGTTTGGATAGATACCAGAGCAGAATGATGATTGGAATGTTGAGAACAGGGTCATAGTGAACGTGAAATAGTCTCCTTTAGGCTTAGTTTTTACGGAACAGTTCCTGAAAGTGTGACGCGTAGACTTTTTCATGTGCTAAACTGCAGGGCATCCGGGTGAGTTGTAAACTTTTCTGGATGGTTAATGTGCTATTCAAGTGTCTGTTTTGCACCTTCAAAGTGTAAAATATTACAAGACTAGGTTGGTCTAGCTCCAAACCTCACTCTAACTGCGCAAGTAATGGAGTAAGTGGGCAATATTTGTTATCTGGGTAGTCGTGTCTCAACGGGCGGGCAAATCACGGATGAGGATTTAGCAGGCATACAGAAGATTCAGCACAACGACTTAGCCATTGTGAGAACAGGATGAAGATGGTTTGCCGTCGCACGAACATCGTTGTTTATGCCGCATGGGCTCGAGTCCGTGGGGAAACGGGACAAACAATACTGCTAGGCGCAGAGTTTTGCGTAATAGCAATCGTTCGTTGGAGCAAGTGGTCCACCTCTATAGATTACATTGGTTGGGGCATGTGTTGCGCTCGTCACTAAACAGATTACCATGGTGTAATGACTGCTGAGGCNTCAAACTAAGACCTGGTATGAGAGTAAGAAACCCCTGGCTAGGAAACTTGCTCACAAAAAGAGCGTTGGGCTCCTTGGATGGAGGCCTTGGGATCGTTGCAATCAATGGTTTGAGACACTGCTAAAGCTGCCCGTCGTAAACAGAGGCGCTCCTGCATCTAGTCAATCTCTTTGCAGCCTAATTCTTTATGAATTTTCTATTTTTGTTCCATTGACACTGCTCTTACCTATATCTCTTCATCAAAACGGGTAAATAGAGAACCTCACCCAAAACCACCGCACGAAAGTGCATAGCTAATGGTTGTAAAAACTGATCGATTCCGTCCGTTACCATGACCGCGAACGAAAACATTTTTTACAGTAAAACCCGTAGGGCGTTCAGTGCATTTTACCTGAGAAATTTATGAAGGTGCACGTCCTCCGCAACATTCGCGAACATCTCTTGTAGTCAACATTGACGATTTGTTTACTCTGTGTTAGAAGAAGAGATAATCTGTTAAAATTCAGTATCCAGGTTTACCATTCACCTAGTATTAGCATTCGGAAAGGAGGTATTTATATTGCACATACGATCGTGCAACTACTGAAAGGAAATAGGGTAGAGGGAGTGCAACAGTTGTGTCGCGAGGGCATGATCAAGATTTGGAATTTCCCGCCCTCAAATACCAAGTCACGGCTTCCCTACGATTTTCCGCAGACTCCCTTTTCTGATCCANACCCGCCGTATCCGTCGATGTCACTAATTAGCGGTTGTCATCCAGTTTCTATCTCGACTTTCGAAATGTCTTTAAATAATTTGGTCGAAACTACGAATTCTGCCATTCTGTGCATAGGTTCGATAGTCTGTTTATATAACGCTTAAGGGTATCTTCAATGAACGATCACAACACTCATCACATTTCTCCGCATGAGTTTCCAATTATCAATATTTTTCACCACTTCAAAAGCACTGGTGATATCACCTCGGCTGGTGATGAAACGTTTGCGAAATGGAATATTTTTCACCAATCAGCCCCTGAAGAAGCGGGACCGGAAAGGGCTCATCCAGGCCAATGTAACCAGGTTCCAAATCACGAACTGATTCATTCTTCCGGCTATCCCTTGAGGTTAAAAACTAGGATCGATATGCGAGGTGATGACTGTGTATGCGCAATACGTGTAACAACTACCTAGGGCGGTGGTGTTATTAGCTGAGTTAGACGACGATATCTAAACCTGATGCCCGCGCACCGGAATCCGTCACTGCCTGTATGATATTGCCACAAGGCACGACTAAAGCCTCGGAGATGGTAATACGTACTATAGTATCTCTCATAGAGCTAGAATTATTTACTTTAGTTGTCCTTTAACATACCCGAACAATGGATTGTTGTTCCTTGGCTTCCGTTATCAAGCACCACACTGAAGTGAAAATCTAGTATAAACTTTTTATTATCGTGGATAAAAACTGTAGGATGCGGGAAAGAAAATTAAAGTTAGGCGCAATGTCTATAAGGATATCACAAAAGACACCGTGTCAAATAAGAGCGCGATTAGGCAGAGGCACCGTCATCTGACAACGCTATGGTATCACGTGATCGGTGATCCTCCTTGTCTGTTTCACCCGACTGACGTGTTAATTGTCCGATTAGTCCATGGGCTGTGCTCAGCAGGTTCACCGGGGTCGTGCCATCTGTGATCAGAGTGCTCTGCAAACCGAGGGCACTTAACATACGTAAATTATGCTCCGGTCCAGCTTTGGCAATCTGTCGCAAATTGTCTGGTCCGATGGCACTGACCATAGATGTGAAACGCGTTACTTCGATCTTCATCTCCTCGTTCAACTGAGCAATTTTCAGTGAGTCTTTCTGACGCATAAATTCCAATTCAGCCTCGCGAGCTTTGCGCAGCCGTTCCAATTCCGCATCCTGGCCAGATTTCGAGGGCATAGAAAAGAAATGTGGAATTAGGATACATATTTTCTAGATACCCATTAACCGTTCTCAATTATAAGGTGACTTCCACTTGGATCTCACCAAAAAATCGAAGTTACCAACAAATTTAGTTAAAAAGAATGATCAGTTGTGTTCACCGAAATAAACTCCAACGTTTACAACGTTGTTTGAATGATAAACAGTCGAGACTAGCACTTACCGCCTCAATTTCACTAGCCTCAGCATGCAATTTAGCCAATTCTACAGCCGACTGTCCCTCGATGCGAGCGGCATCTGCACGACTTTGAGCCTCAGCAGTAGCCTGTCCAGTGCTTTCCAAAGCGGCTAACTGGACGCGAGTTTCGAGCAGTGTTCGCCGCACTGCCTCCGCTGCGGTTTCATCCTCGATTTTTTGACGCTCCAAACGACCACGAGCCTCTTGTTCTAGACGCTCGGCCTCGTGCCTGATATGATGAAATCAAAAGTGAAGAATGAGATTTCAAAAACTGAGGAAGATCAGAACTGAGATTGGGAGTAAGACGGAACTTTCCAGGACTTTTGTACTTATTTTAAGACTAGCTGGTGAAACAACCCAAATAAGAAAAACGTACACCAAATAAGCAGTTGTGATCATTTCAGTTAAGCCAAAGAGATACAGCTAAGGGTAGAAAAATATGGCACGTTTGGGAAAGGATAAACGAAAGACATGGTTTGAAAGTGTGTGCTTCAGTGCAAACAAGGTGTATGACTGCAAAAGCCCTCGGTCTGCTGGAATGCCGTCAGTGGAGCTCACGAAACTTGCTGGCCCCTCGTGCGAACAAGCAGATAGGAGATTCAGTGATCTGAGCATCTTTCAAACTGTTACTAAAAGCACAAGGTCTGTGTTTCGTGTCATGTTCGCCATTTGTTCCTCGCAACTAAGATCGATTCGATCTATTTAGGCAGATAATCGCATATCCAGGGAATAGATGATTATGTGACCCGGGTAAACAGCACACTATATTGGTATTATATTTCACACATTCATCTTAGTCCAAACTGTGCCTAACAAGTCACGGTATAACAATCTGTATAGGAAGCACAATGGTCAATGATTCCTACTAGGGCGGAATAGTGCTAGATAACCTAGGACAACGTAAGTTAATTTTCTTGGGGAGTTCACGATCGGAGTCTTCGGCTAGCCGAAATCTGCCCCATGGATAGCGGGGCGATGCGTGAAAACAGCAGTCTGCTGGGGGCGGTGTTCAACTTTGCGGATCATACTTTCTTTGGAAAAGACGAAATATCTAAGTTACCCAGTACATCTCGACGCCCAAACAACTGGTGGCCACAGGCACAGCAAACAAACCGGCGCACGATAGTGCACGGTTAATGATTATATAAACCGAACTAAACTGAAAGTGTATGGGTGTGGTTCGTACACCTGTAAATAGAATCAAGGCTTTCAGTCGACTCCTCTAGGTGGACTGTCACTGGTCCGCCGACCCGGTGATAGTCTCGAATGTTCTCATTTTGTTGGGAAAACACCTGCAATGCATGAAGGCAATGAGGAGGGCTTCCTTAGCAGGGGCTATTTCGAAGCTTGGTTGTACTGCATGAGGTGTAAGGGGAAGGTGATCAGCAACAACGCCTCCCCTCAACAATAATGAGGCTTTCAGAAGCAGCACAACTGAGCAGTGAAACCTTAAATGGCTCTTAAATCCAAGTGCCCTGTTTGAGTAGTTGAGTCTCTGCTTGAAATCAACAATAAACACACGAATTTCGGAGTGTTCTTGAACATCACTTACCTTATATCCTG